ATTCGATCTCCTGTTACTTCAGTGAATCATTAGAATTTTACCTCATCAATCATTCTTTCCAGGAAACTCCACACTGCTTCACCTAGGCTATAAACTAAATATTTATGTTTCTGTATTCATATGCTAAAATCTAGTCCTCAGTGCACAGGAATTTGGAGGTAGGATTCTTGGAAGATTAGGTCACAAGAGTGATCCTCAGGAAGGAGATTAGGACCTATTAAGCTACCAAGAGTCTCTTTTCCCCTTTTCCGTGTGAAGACACAGTGAAAAGATGGGACCCTAAAAATGCAGGAAGTGAGCCCTCACCAGCTGTTGAGTCTGCTGGTGATTTGCTCTAGGACTTAGTCCACCCCCCGTCCCAGCACTATGAGAAATACATGTCTTCTACTTGTGAGATGCCCAGTTTGCGGTATTTGGTAAAATGACTTACCATATTCTGTCAATTGTAATTGGACATTTCTCTCCTGCCCACCAGTTCCCAAATACCCAGCAGCCACTTCCCAAATTACCACACAGAGGCTTAATATAAATTATAAATGCTTGGCCAATAGCTCAGGCTTAGTACTAGCTCTTACATTTTGAGTTAACCTATATTTCTTATTTATGCACTGCCATGTAGCACTACCTTTATTAGCATGGTACATTCATGTCCTTCTCCCTCTGCATTTGGTTGACTCCGCCTTTCTTCCCATCATCTTTAGTTTGGTCACCCCACCTATTCTTCCTACCTGGCTACTGGCCAATCCGTGTTTTATTAAACCAATTCGAGTGACAAATCTTTACACTGCACAAGAGGATTATCCTACAGCAGTGAATGATATTGATTCTTGTCCTGAAATATCTTTGGAGAGCATTCTACCTAGCCAGGACCACTATAGCCTGTTGCCTCGGCTGCAGCCCTGGCTTTCTGAGGGCTGCTCCTGTCCGACTCTTGTCACCCTCTAAGTCATTTTCAGCAAAATGGTCAGAATAAACTTTAGAAAATCCCGTGACCTAGGGTATTTTCTGTTTTAGTCAAAAGAACATCACAAAGCAGCTATTTTTATCTTGGGCCCCTGTGAGGCTGCCTCCTGCTTCTTCTCCAGACGAACTTTCCTTCTCCGTTCTCCCTCGTGGGCCACAGTAGAGATTTTTAAGTTCCTTAAACACAATATTCCCTCCCTCCCTCCCTCCCTCCCTCCCTCCCTCCCTCCCTCCCTCCCTTCTTGCTTCTTTCTTCAGCTTAGAGATCCCATATATCTTGCTTTCTTGGCCTGGATAATAACTGTTTATCCACATTTTCTGTCTAGCTCACTTCTACTAAATTCTTTGGTCTCCATTTAAATGTTATTATATTCTTCCCTACACACACACACACACACACACACACTCTGCAGAATTAATTATATATTCACATCCCTTCCTAATTTATCCAAGCTTTTCACTCTTTTCCCAGGTGTTAAACTGGCACTCTCATTGTGTCTCAGCTACCCCTTACTGTCCGCTTTTGTTTCTTTTTGAATGAACTCATTTCATGATCCAGGTCTGTGCAAGCATTGCGGTGCTAACATTTCTCAGCAGAGGGCGCTAGAGGAACACCGCAAGGGAAGGGAGGCGCTTGCTCTGCTCCAGTTGCTGCAGGGTAGACCAGGAGTGTGGGCTTGTGACCAGCAGAAGGCGCTTTATTCCGGCCATGGGCCCGGCACATGCTGTCTCTCTGTGACCCTGCTGCCTTAGCAGGGTCTGGTGGTCACCTTTCTGTGACCCTTACCATATGGACAAACTGTGCAGGTCTCAGGTACACTCTGATGCCTTGCTTTTTCCCGGCTTACTTCCCTCTTACTTCCTTCGGCTTGTTTCCCACAGTCCTTCTGAAACTACTTCTGTTGACAGAGGCTTTGCGACAAGGACGTCTCATGTTCCAGGCCTTTCGGCAGCACACGCATCCTCACTCCGCTGCTATAAATCCGCACCAACCACCAACTGAAGGTTTCCTGCCTCGTGGGGCCCCAAAGGCTTGCTTCCTGTTTATACCCGGACTGTAGACTCCTCGGGCCTGGGAAACCAGTGAGCTGCAGGCCATCCAGTTGTTGAACCCCCTTTTTCCCTTGAACTCCAGCTTTGGAAAGGGAACGGACCTCTTCTGAGTTTGTCCGTCCTGGTATATGCCTTCTTTGAAAAATACTGAGTCTTCTTATATCCTACAGTTACTCTTTTATCAAGGTTTAACAACTGGACGGCTGAGAGCAGTGTGATTGTGCTTGATTGAGAATGCTGTAACTATTCTCTCTAGATACACTTTTATTTGTGATACTAATCAAAGCTACTTGTGGGGTTACTTTCTTACGTTTGTTTCCTACATGGAGCTATAAGCACGAACAGGGCAGGCTCCATATTTGTTTGCCTTCTCCCTGGTGCTTCCATAAGGCGTGGCGTATAAAAAGTATCCAATAAGCATTTGTTGCATGAGTGATTTCTGAATGGGTGAGTGCACTTTCTGCTAATTTATTCAGTTATGTTCTTTGTATGCCTCATTAGCTCTTCTCAGACATTGCTATCTATTTTCCAGATCAGACATGATGGATTCTGGAATGGGTAGCCATAAAAGGCACCTGATTTGGGCTCTTGAAAAATGAAATAATGCTATTTCATTATACTCTCCTATAGTTGCATCAAAAGCCGATGTAGCAATGATGGCCACAGGTACATTCTTCATAACAGCTTTTTGTTACCTGTGTGCTGATCACGAGACCCACATCCCCACCCCCAAAGAAGACTAGAAAACAGATAAAAGTATTCTAAATTTAACTAAAATTACCAGTATAGTTTAAAAGTTGCACATACCTTCCATTCCACTCATACTTTCAAATGCCAAAAGTTTGGTAGGTGATAAAAATAAGTAGATGAGGCAATGAAGAATAGTGGGGATTGTGATAAACTGGGTTGCACATTCTTCATCTGAATGCATTTAATTCAAAGATTCACAAAAACACCACATGAGCTAAATATAGCACCAGCCCTTGACTGCCACCTAGCAGACCCCTCAGCACCAGCCCTTGACTGCCACCTAGCAGACCCTCAGCACCATCCACTGATGGCCACCTAGTAAAGTCTCAGCACCATCCACTGATGGCACCTAACAAAGCCTCAGCACCAGCCCCTGACTGCCACCTAGCAAACCTGGCTGGCCCTTCTGAATCTCAGCAGTCAGAGATCTTAAAATAAGAGATGTTTGATTCAAGGATATTTCTTATATTAGTTTGTTGAAGCAGAGCATTAAAAACTAACATCTACTATGATCCCTATTTTGTAAGAGGAGACAGAAATTGATTACCAATGCAGGGCAAGACAGACTACTTCAGGATTACAGTCTCCAGATGACAGTACGTAAGGTCAGTTATTATTATTATTATTATTATTATTATTATTATTAATCTTAAGTTGGAATACACTTGACTGTAATATTTACTCAATTACAATTAGAATTACCTTAAAAAAGAAAGTATCAAATTTCCAGGGCTGCACTCTTGCCCATTCAGGAGGTAAGGGGAAGGAGAACGTGGGCATGGTTCTAGGACTCCTACAGGCTTCTGAAACATGAATGTTCATGTTTCCATAGGTTGGAAATTGGTGTCTAGTGTTTCCACAATGCTTTCTGGATTGAAAACTTCTTGTCTGTTCCACTTTAACTCAGGAGAACAGAAACCAAGGACAGATAATAATGTCTCATCCTGTTTAGAGAAAAATCCTATTTTCCCGCACTGGAGGGAGACAGAGTTTCTCAATGGAGCTGTACAGTTCACTTTCCTACGAAAGGCAGAGCCGTTCACAGAGCAAGTGGCTCAGAATGTCGGAATAGAAAGTCCCCACAATAATTCAGTATTAGACCGTACTTCACTCTCACAATATACTCATTTCTTTACTAGATATTTTCAGTAAGAAATTAAGTTTGTTTATACATGCACCCAAGTGCACACACACACACACACACACACACACACACACACACACACACACACACACACACACGAGAAATATAAAATAAAGACAGAAGGAAAAAAAAAACAAGATTATGTCATGAATGAGGTAAATAGCCAAAATTCTTGTTTTGAACCCTGATTAGAGGTGGGTCATGAATGTCCCTGGAGGGAAGCCAGAAGATCACAAGGCTGTGGGAGACAGTGCATCCTTTGTTGAGTGGGGGAGTGCATGTATTCTTTAGGACAGGGAGTCTGTTTGACTGCTGACAGCTGTTGAGACTATTTCATGAGAAGACGAAAAGTAGGAGTTCTATATGAAATCTCTGTTGTTATTTTTAAGCATGTTTGCAGTCACTTAACAGAATCAGACACTGGATTGCATCTGGCTGAAAAGACACACATGATAACAAAATGTGAACTGTGGTTTTATATTCATCTAAAGAAGGTCTTTCCAAGCGCATGGGCCCATCTCAGAGTCACCCAGTCACAAACATCTGGGAGGAGGACTGCCTTAGCACACCTTGGGGGACATTCCCTATGTGGTCCCAGCCTTCACCCAGAGTTAGAAATCACCATTCTCATGAAACCTGGAAAATGAAATAGGTATTCCAGGTGACTTGCTAAGTTCTCTGTCTCAGAAGCCTCAGCAACACTGAGTTCTGCTGACAACAGTACACTGCCTGAACTGTGGCCTGGAGAGCTATGCTTTTATGGGTCCATTTTGATTTACCCCGGTACGAGAAACTTATCTTTGGTTCCTATTTTCTTTACAGTGATAATGAAAAGAAATCTGCATAGAGGATGGAAACAGAAGTAAATGAGAAGAAACATGTGCCTTGATTTATGCAGCAGAAGAGAACATAAGTCATAATTCTTTGACTTTTGAAGGAAGAACAATTCCTGGGCAGTCAGAGGGGAAATGACTGTTTCTAGAGTCCTGCCATATAATTCCTTGAACGATACCTCTTGGTCATGGAAGGTTTTAGTCCAAGGAGGTTTTACTTCCCAATGTTCTTTATTCTTACCCATACCAGCCATTACCTTTCTGTGTTTGTAATAGAGGAGATAGCCGTCATGCTTCAACACAAACCACCTCTTCCTCCAGCCCTTCACAAAGCCCGAGTGAGTCCTCTTATGCAGGTAGCCACGACAGGTGGGCCATGGGGTATTGGGACAGCGGCTGATGTCGGATCCCACCACTAGAGTCAAGATGTCTGGACCTACAGGTGTGAATTTAAGATATATATAGTTCAGTGGATTAACATTTTATAACCTTCTGGAGGTACCGTGACAGTGCAGAAGTAATGGATGGAGAAACAGTTATAGTTTTTAAAACAGTGAAACAGAATCCTACCACTAGATTAAACCAAGTCTCTTCAGAATTCAAACCTATGTGTTTAGGAAGAATAGAAGAACTGGACCGTTATCTCGCTGTTGACTCACAGCTAAGTAGTTGAACTGATGTGGGATCCAAGTTCCCCAACTGTATAACACTCCTTCATCATAGCCACGATGGTTCCGATGACAGTCAAGTCTGTGCAATGCCACTGGTTGTAGTACCAACCTAATTCCTTAAACATCTTGATATACTTCCTAGGAGGAGTGTGTGTGTGGGGTGTATGCCTCGAATTTCTACTTCACTTTTGTTTGCAATAATTAGCCTTTTTTATCTGGTTTAGCCAGAGGGAGAGTCTGTGTCACTAGTTAACTCTCTTGTTGAAACTATAGCTTATCAAAACCCTTGAGTTTGGAAATAGCAGTACTGGGAGGTCTTGGGTACTGACCTTTTTCTGTTTCCAGGTTAAGTGTGACTTTACCCTAAGCTCCCAGTTCCTGTTTCTCTTGGAATGTCTTCTTGGCTGGTAACATAGGCCTGTTATACAGAAGAGCTTTTGGATATTGTCTCTGTCCCTGTTAACATGAGGTCACTGCCTACCTACTGTGCTTTGTTGCTGCCAGCGTGGACACCACACCCCTACCTTTTGATGCTTTAAGACAGCTCTCTGAATGCCATGCAGACGGACAGCAACCCTGACACACTTTGAAGACTGCAAATGGGCTATGACTTCATTTACAATTCCTCTGAGAGGAAGGCCACATCCCCGAAGGAGGACATTTGGCCTTGGCAGCGCTGACTTCATCACGATGGCTGACATTGAGATTACCGATCTGTTTAGAGCTGTCTATGGAAATGGGGGTCAGCAAGGAGACTCATCTTCTATAACTGACAAGCTCCAACCCAGGGGATCATTCCTGGCTGAGCCACATGGCCCTGAAAATAAAGATTTGTCCCAGAAAGGCTGACACAGTCTTAACTTTAGCAGCACGCGAAGCACCTTGGTAATTAAATAACTCTCAGTATGTCAAGATAATTCTTCATTGCCATGTAAATACATTTTAATTTATTGAACTGCCCTTAAGCTCCTGTCAAAAACACATCCAGAAAAATTAAAAGAAATGCTCCAGATTGACCGGCAACCCACAAATGTCTTTGTCTTTGGACTGTAGTCCCCAAAGTACTGCACTCCTGGACTAATGTGCACAGTTGACATGTCTGCCAATTTATTTATGGACTGCTGCAGTGGGCTGCCCCCGAGGTCATTTTCCTCTTGCTTACACAGACTGCATGCGACTTTCTCTGATACCGATCAGACTAAGCTCGTGCTTCAGCCTGGTCAGAAACATAACTTGGTGCATCATGAAAAATTCTCTCTGGGGCAAGGATGCAGCTGGCCCTGGTGCAGCATGGTTTCATCATGTTAGAAGGAAGTTTCTCATGCCCAGAGTGAGGACATGAACCTGATGCATGGGGAGTTCTTGAGCTCCAAACAGCTGTCGGGAGAGGGTAGTTTTATACTCTTTACCACATGCTACTCGGGGCCCAGAGGACTTGGGCTTGACATTCACAGAAGAGCTTGAGTGAGAGTTTAGACTTTGATATTATGTTTTGCTAAAAAAAAAAAAAAAAATCTGCTTCTGTAGTCATTGTAGTATGTGCACTAGAAGAACTAAAATTCTAAATGTTAACATTTAAAACTTCCTGTGTTTATTAATTTACTAAGCCTAAAATTAGGAAATGTCTTAATTTGGTGCTTAAAAAACTAACACACATCAGCCAGTGGTTCATTAAACATTATGCCTTCATTTAGCAGGTTGGGCATGAGCCTTGACATTCTGTGTTTGTAGCGTGTTCTTAGATGATGTCCAAACACAATTTCAGTTTCAAGTCCCCCGACACTTTTGTTTCCATGTGGCCCTGCTGCTTGGTCCTTGCCACCAACTACAATATTTCTTCATTTCTTCAACTATAATTTCATTTCTTTTGACCCAATTTATTTTTAACCCCAACATATCTCAGTTAAAAAAAAGAAAAAACAACTCTTAGTTCCCTCACCCCCATATTACTTTGCCTTATTAATTTCATGAGCCTGGGAATGGAAGTACACAGCTTTTGCCTCTATCTACCAGGCATCATGCTTGCTTTGGGTGGTGGGTGGGATGAAGAACGCAGATAGGAGACTGTCTACAGCCTGAGATGAAAGAGCCAGGCCAATGATCAGCTTCATGAGATAAAGAAGTTTTCAAACCACATCTCTACCCACCCCAGTTCTTTAGTGACAAAGTCCTTCAAAACAAAAGCTCCCCAGAAAAAAAAAAAAAAAAAAACCTTCCCTCGCATGTTGGCCCATGTTTGGAAGTGTAGCATTCAGGGAGGTTATTTACAGCTGCAGGAAACAGAAAAAAAAAAAGATTTCTTTTTCTAATTCACACTTTCTCCTTGGCTCACTGTCTTATTATGCCACCAATCTTAAACTGTGTCAGAGTCACACCTCGGCTGTCAGACAAGCTCTACCACCCTCACAAGAGTGCAGAAGAGAAATGTGCAAGATGTGTTCTGTCCCCCAGGGCCTGCACCGTGTTCAGCAGCTGAGAACTCGGCCCCCAGAGGCACTTTTGTGTTTGATTTTTTACTAAAGTCTGCACTTAGTGAAACAAAGTCCTGGCGGGGCAAAGACTTGCCGGCTCCTTGAGCTTCAGTGTGCTCCTTTACTTTTTACATGGGTGATTAAATCTCCTCTTTGAGTCGGCCGGGATCCAGCCCTATAAAAAGCCAAAACCACTGTATCGGGGCAAGCTAATTTAAATAAAGACTCAGCAGAGAGTGGTGCTGTATACCTGTAATCCCGGCACAGGTGGCGGAGGGTAAAACCAGAGGATCCCAGGTTGAGGGTCGCCCTGGGCCAAACAGTGAAAACTTGTCTCAAAAAGCAATCGAGCATACAAAGTCCCAAAGGTTCGCATACAGATAGCCATTTTCAGTGTGACACTGGATGCCTTTCAAAAATCAGTTTGGGTTTCTCAACGACGGAATAAAGCTCAGTTTGTACAGGTGTGTGTAGTACTATGACTAATAATGTCAATTACAAAGTAAGAGTTTTTGAGTGGTGTCCCCCTTTTTCATGCTACTCTGTTGAGATAAGATAACAAAGTAAGACTTTCAGTCATCAGGCTGTAACTGTTTGGCCAAGTCTTTAAGATTCTGGGCTGAAGAAGAGGGTTCAGTGGGAGAAAGGGGATGAAAACAACAAGAGTCGTTATATACATGTATGAGACTGTCAAGAAACAAAAACAAAAATAGAAAGATGCTGGCTGTGTCCTGATGCCAGGCTGGTGGTGAACGATTCAACACAGAGAGTTGATCAAAACTACAACTATAGAGGCATCACTAGATGCTGTGGGATGGTCTGTATGGCAAATGTGTTGCTAATTAGTCAATAAATAAATCACTGATTGGCCCGTGGCCAGGCAGAAAGTGTAGGCGGGACAAGGAGGAGAATAAAGCTGGGAAGTGGAAGGCTGAGTCAGAGAGACACTGCCAGCCGCCACAATGAGAAACAGCATGTGAAGATGCCAGTAAGCCACGAGCCATGTGACAAGGTATAAATTTATAGAAATGGATTAATTTAAGCTGTAAGAACAGTTAGCAAGAAGCCTGCCACGGCCATACAGTTTGTAACCAATATAAGTCTCTGTGTTTACTTGGTTGGGTCTGAGAGGCTGTGGGACTGGCAGGTGAGAGAGATTTGTCCTGACTGTGGGCCAGGCAGGAAAACTTTAGCTACAAATGGCGTCCAACGTGGTGGCAAGAGTTTCCACCTAAAACCTGAGAAAAGATTCTAAAACGGAGCTGAAAACAGTTCCTAATTATCTCTCTCAAATGAGCGGCAGCTGCCAGTTTGAGCTACTGGTGGGTTCCTAGTGTGCACGCTTGACCTGCTGCCATATGGCAGGAATGAGGCCTCTGCAAGTGGCACATTAAGCTGCATGGTGGATTTAGCCTTTGCTGGTACAAAACAAAAAAGAGGTTTCTGGACTACACGCTGCTTGGATAAAAGCATAGACCCACGAAAGCTCCCGAGCTCATGGTAAACCACCGCCATGCTGGGAAGCTGAGGTGGGCGGAGCCAGCAGCCACAGCTGCTGCAGTTTAAGGCAATAGATTCACAATAAGACAGATTCAGATGTAATAGTTTACAATGTGTGTAAAAGATACTTAGGCTTGAAAGAGACAAAAAAGGTGACATATAGAGTTATAGAAACAAATACATAGTTTTAAAAAAATGAAGTCTTTAAAGAGACAGTAAAGGTAGTATAAAAAATAAGCCACGTAAAAATGGATATTACACAGAGAATCTGGATTGTGTTGTCTTTGGGATTTTTAACTGCAGAAAAACATTTGATCATAAAAGATGTTGAGTTAAACCAATATGTATATTTTAAAGATACCATGACTTCAAAATTTGGATATAAGGATATGTTGCTTTGGAAAGGAGACTCTGCTTTTGTTCCCACAGAAAGCCAGAGGCTATGGATTTGTTCCAGATTAAGATACATCAGGTTTGACCAGCCAAGACCCCCTGAAAGGTCTCCGATGACACCATGGCCCAGATGATCCAACATCCAGAACGGTTTGAAGGCATCTGGCTCAGACGATACAGCCTCATGGACTATTCCATAATCCTAAAATTTTCTTTGTTTCCCTATAAGATACAGCGCCCCCCTCCAGCAGGAAGTAGTAAGAGAAGCTACGCCCAAATTCCCAAATTATATGTAATTTTACTTTGTTAAGGTTAAAACCTTCCTTTTTGAAAAAAAGAAGGGGGGGAAGTGCTGTGGGATGTTCTGTATGGCAAATGCGTTGCTGATTAGTCAATAAATA